CAGTGGTGTGCCCCAACATAACGCTTCAGACTTTCTGACTCGAAAAGCTGCAAATCTGTTTTTGTACATTTCTATTGCAAAACTGGCAATCCATCTAAGCCGTCGCAATAAAAGACAAAACATGTATGCCACGGATCTGCTAAAAATATTCACAAATCATGTACACTGCAGGTTAAAAACAGAATTTGAATTTTTCCGGTTAACCAATCAACAACACGTGTTTGATCTCACTTGGGCAACGCATAATGTATTGTGTAATGTATGAAATAAATGACCAACCACCCTTTCTTTACATTTGTAATAGTGTAATTATACGTGAAGCAAGAGTGCTCTGAAATGAACTCTGGCAGATCTCGGCTCTCGTATCTGGTGATCTCGTGATAGTATCTGGTGATCTCGTGATATTATCTCGTCATATATAGTATCTTGTTATTTCGTGATAATGTCTCGTCATCTCGTGATAACAGGCTATCATAATACAGCCTACGTAAATAAATAACCTATTGTGTGTACGAGATGTGATTCATTGTTAAAATAAATAAATTACGTGAAACCATAGTTTATTAGATACACTCGCTCGCTCATGCAACAGTTCAGAACTAAATGCGGCCTCACCACGCATCAACGCAAATACCCGGTTGGTGAGTAGTGGGGGTTACCAAATTACGCAACAAGGTCAGTAACGATCCTGCGACGATAGAGGGGAACAGCATTCGATACTCATCACATATATATTTGTAAAATGAATTACAAAATTCTGCTGTGATAATACTGGGATCTGCTTGCCGGATTTTAGGGTCAAGTATAGCAGCATTGTCCTCCTTTGCTGAACAATACCTCAAACGGCCGAAACCTCTACAAGCACGCTGTCTCAGTTTTAAATACGACGACGTCACACGGTTTATTGTGTTAATCATTAATTGGTCCACGGCACCTGTTCATTCATCACCCGGACACTCATCTAGTGAAGTCCAGGGGGGAAATCTAGGGCATGTAACACGACCTACTTTCAGGCTGTAGTGTACGATCACCTCGTGACATTACTTGGCGATAGCACTTCATTGTTCTCATTCCTGAATGCTGAATCTTTTATAATTCTGAACTTAGCTAATTCATAATGCAAATTGAAATTTCAGTAACCCCCAATTATTCATAAATGTTCCTGTATCCCTCCTTGTCCCTTGGTGTGACCTGTTTAATTTTCAAACCGTGGAAAACCCTGTCAAGGTGACAGTTATTTAAGAAAAATAATGTTTTATTTTTTCTAACCAAATCAGCTTGCAGTTTCCACATACATTCAATATTCTCACGTGTACTACAAGCTATAATACCTTCGACAATGGCTGTTATTGTTCGGTTGTGGTCAATAATAACCACTTGTATATGATAATTCTTGGTACTGGTTGAAACCAAGAACAAGCAATATTTTGTGTATGACATAAAATGGGAGAAATACGCCGAAAACGATCATGTGACTGTTTTTGATCAATAACATATACTGTCTCATACTTGAATGATAATATTAGATATTCACTCAGTATTCGTAAATCAGTAAATAGGAAAAAACTATTTTGATTTGTTTTTATTCTACGACATGATTGTTCAACAAGGCTATCAACAAATACTGGGAATATGTGACGTGGGAATGTTTTTTTAATTAGTGTTCTCATGGTTTAGTTACATTTCAATTGCTAGTTATGCACTACTATTTGTCGAATACGACTTATTTACCACTTCCGTGTCACTGAGAATGTTCTAGAACCATACTTTGTCTGGGTGGAATATTCTAGATTTTTTTAGAAACTGGTTGAATAGGTAATAGAACACTGTAGGAGAAGATAATAGAAGACAATAGAAGGTAATGGAACATTCTAGAAATTTATAGTAAATTCCAGACTCATTATGTATGCTGATGTAATGGTCTATTTATAGACAGTGTGGGTATATGTAGGGGAGTTGTTCAGCACCAGAAATATCGTTGAATTGTATTGGAGTTTAAGTATATAGTTATTGGAGTAGTGGAGTTTTACCGCGTTATTGTACTTGATGTTTGCAGATTATAATAATACCAGTACCAGTTGAAACCTCATCTGTTGGCTCCGTGTTCGTATGTTATCATCGCCGCCAGGGAAGTTTTTCTGTTACTGTTGCCATTTTGGTATTTGAACCATCACACCTGTACTATACCAATTACGGTAATATTACGTTGCGTGTGACACATTTGTTATCAGACGATTGGACTCGTGCTAGTCAGCACGTGCCGAAACCTGGTCTGATCGCTCTGACACGAGCCGAAAATAAACCCGTTTGTGGGTCAGCTTTTTGGACCCAGACCATCCTCTGTACGTATCGAGGTATATCCGTCTGAATGCACGGATCGAACCGGTTGTTGGAGGAAATAATTCACAAACACAGTAGCATACGAGTAATATATGTAAACGTGACACAAATTGGAAATCTTAGGTGTAATGACAAGGTTCAACTAAGAATATATAACATTATTATACATCTGTCATCGTAACGCCATAAGTTAGGTCAAAAAAAACTTATGTTGCCCTCAAGTCGAAAAACTGAAAAATTGGGTCGGTCGGTCGGATTTTTTTTTTGATGAAAAATTTTGGATATGGCGGACTCATAAAAAAAATACAAGCAACCCTACTGATAAAAAAATCTTCAAACACACAAAAAAAAATTGCCTTTCACTGAGCTGACCCTCCCCCCATCAAAAATCAAATGGTCCAACCCTAACAAACTTGAGACTCGCATCATACTTTTAAAGGTCTGAGTGAGAGAGGAGCACTTTTAGAGAAAAACATGCCCCTCGGAATAACATTGAAATCTAGACCCTCTGAAACGCTATTTCCTGCTTTTTGAGGGACAAATATTGCTGACACAGAGGGTTTCAGCTTAATTAGGGGGACGACAACCCATTCCCCATGGGTGCCACCACCACCGCTAAGATAAATTTATATTTATTTGAAACCGAGGACAGAGTTTTGGTACAAGCACATATATAGTTACTGTGAGCACAATAAGGTAAAAGGGCTTCTCTTTGAAATGGGACACAGTCTGTTTATGACAAACTGTGCGGAATCGACATCAAGTGATTCCGGAAGCACAATCTTTGACACCTTGGGCAGTTGGTTTCACTGAATACCGACGCCCTTAAATTTACAATTTAATAGTAGACAGAGGCGGTGGCATATCATTCTTGCACGGGAGGGGGGGGCGCTCTGCCATTGGTGGAACCACATGGCAAAAATAATTGTGTAATAGAATTACGTGCAATTCGTAACCACTTAATGTATGCAGTGTGAATATATCTGGTAAATGAGAATGCTAGTGTACGTTTAAAATATGACCGGAACAGAGGATGAACCAAAAACCTCTTGTGCTGCGCCATCTTGTGACAGGAGTGCCATCAGCACACCGGTCGTCTGAGGGCGCAAACCCAACACAGCTGTGTGTGCTGTAATTTGACTACAGGCGCACATATTTCTATGTTTTACATACTTTATCTATTAAAACATATATAACATATATTTCTGCTAACAGGCCTACATGCACAGAATGGCCAAAACGTTTCATACAGATTAGAATTGTAAGCAGAAACCTTCATATGGCGATTGACCAGAATTTATCAACAGCGGACTTTGTTTTTGTTTTCTTATCTACCTTCGAATTTAAATGGGTTTTCACGGTACATTTGTAATCCAAAACAATTGTTTATAAATTTGACATACCCTCAGATCTATGAACTACATGTGTACTATACATGTAAATTGCTGAAAAATGACGTGTTTTTAATATTCCATTCCTAAGTAATTTAAATGAAAAAACAGCAAAACAACAAAAACATATAAAATATTGGAAGAGTTGGTTCCTACAGTACTTAGAAGTCACTGTGACCGCAATCGTGATAACAAAATGCCAAAATTAAATTAAATAAAATTGTTTCCGGGAAATTTACAATGGATTTCATGAAGGCATATTTTTTTCGGAATTTTTCTTTCTGTGCTAAATGATACTAATTGTACGACGGATACACTCTAATTTCAAGCGTTTTAAACACATTTGAGGAATTCTCTCGTGTGTGTGATGCAGTAAATCCCTCAATGGGTGAGCAAAGCCCGCGAAATACGCATGGGTAATATACGTTACCAAATGGTTTCTCCGCAGCCAATAAAATCATTCTTATAACATATTTTCACGCCTTCATGAAACCCGTTGTATCATCGACTTTCAGTTTCAATCATTCTGAGTACATCCTCTGCAAACTTGTAAATTATGAACATGCCAAAATGATTCGAAAGCAGGAAAAGGGTATCAATTATTTCGGGGAACTTCATCATCGACTTTCATTGAAGTCATTCCGAGTAACATCCTCTGAAAAATTGTTTTGGCAAACTATTAACTGCCTCAAATTGGATTTTAGAAATCGAAATCGGAATAAATACAGTCAAAACAAGTGTGCAACGCGGTGAAACAGCGGTCCAGCCTATCTGACCCGGGGTTTGACCCCAATCTACATCTACGTATGCCGAATCCTGAGGGTCACATCATATTAAATGGTTTCGCCCATACTTCCTGTTTCAGCAGCTTATAGGATTTTGATCGCATCATGACGTCGGAATCGCCAGCAAAAAAACAGAAAATGGCGTCCTCACTGGATCAGCTGAAAACGTATACCGTGGTTGTGGCGGATACTGGCGACTTTGAAGGTATGATATGCGCGTTTAAAGCCAGATTTGAGAAAGACGGGCAAGCGTTTTTGTCCCGGTGTAAGGAGTCGCCATTTTGAGGGCATGGGGTCGACCAACACGTGAGACAGAAAGGTTTCTTGAAGTTGGGGTCGGAGTAGGGACTCAAAAACAGGGGTACTATACATAGACAGTAACCATTTTGCATACTCCAAATAACTGACGAGACATCGGATCACAATATCTACGTTGTATTTATCTGTGATAAATTTGGTTTTGTCAAAAAAAAAGAAAACCCTTTCATTCAATCAGTTGAATTGAGTTATACTCTCGCAGTGACCCCAGGTCTGTTACGAGACCAAACCATCAGTAAAAGGTTCTGTGTTTTTGTCTGCATAAAGAACATTAAAAATCGACACAACGCATTTCAAACTGGAATAACTGTTAATCGAAATATCACCAGACCGTCACCAGACCGGAATTTGTTGATGTGTACTTTATCAACATAACAATAGCGTTGTCAAATCGTACTAGACCGGTACGATCGTACTTACTGATATAAACTAATTTACGTACGTAATTTCAGTCCAACGTGTCCGACCGATTATTCGTGGATAAACTCTGAATGAATAAATGGTGCTGTGTGCTATTCACTGATTTTTGCGCTATTGGAAACTATCCGCTTGTGTACATTACAGGTGTGTTTTTATTGGTTGGTGGGGGGGGGGGGGTAAGGGAAGTTACTTAGGGTCTCCTCCCCCATAACGTTAATCTTAACCCTGCTTCTCCAGTACCCTTCCTGGTTTAAATTGTATACTAGTATGTCCCTCTTCAAGTTATGTACATGTACAATTAATTATGGGCTTGAGTGTTAGGGTTAAAGTTCAGGTATGGTGGGGTGTGAATCTTATTTTAGGGATTTGGTATAAACACAGTTTTTTTATTTTTTATGCGCTTCTATTGAGATTTTGTGCAGACATACAATGTATTGTGCACATAGTATACAACATTTGGGACCCTTATCGATGACATGACGCAACAACTGGAGTGCTTTAATCTGTTTTTTTTTTTTTTTTTTTGCTTTTTTTCAAAAGCCAGTTTTTCATATAATAGGTGTACGATGAAACACTGCCTGCATATGTTACTATTGGGAATGATTTATTTTCTAATACAGTGAAGGACAAAAAGCTGGGGACGTTATAAATGTTTTATAAATATATACTTTTATAAATCAGAATGGATGTTAGAATTCAAATTGACCAATCCAGAAATGATATTATGACATCAGCATCATTTGTGATTAAAATTATTAATTAATTAGTTCAACATTAACCAATCAGCATTGTGGGTGCAGACAATGTTTGGTACTCTAGCCAATCACTATAACAAATTTAATTTATGTATTGTTCTTTGTATTTTTTTTCAGTAGAACAAGAATATTATTCACATCCTGCTATAGATTTATCTTAGTATCGCATTTGTTAAGTAAAAATAAAATATATATATATTACCAGTTCCAGTATAAATATTCAAATGCTCTTCCCAGCAAAATAGGGCATACTGAAAAAAACAATCGCTGAGATTTAATTTCACTATTTAATATTACTATTATACCTTACAGCCATCAAGACATACAAGCCTACTGATGCCACAACTAACCCATCTTTGATTCTGGCGGCTACTAAGATGCCCCAGTATCAACATTTACTGGAAAATGCGGTCAAATACGCGAGAAGTCATTCCAGGTCAGTATTTTTTGTATCTTCATTCATCTTTGCCAGCTAAAAACCATTTATTCAGCTGAAACCTCAACATTTGATCATTTCCTAAATAGGCAGCTCCAGTTTTAATGTTTCATACTCGTTGAAACAGAATGAAAATGTCTGTGTCCTGCTGATAGACAGTAAATACAATAAATGAAAGAAAGAGAGAAACACACTGAAAAATATTTGTTGTTGATTAGACTAATTATTACAAATATTAAATGAAAAATCAAGCCCAGATAACCCAGCACTGCATTTACTGTATTAACAAAATTTTTAAATATGTTATTTTTATCATCATTTATCTGTGGTATTTTTTGTTTGCAGTGATGAGGATGAACAAGTAACCTTGGCAATAGACAAACTGTTTGTTTTGTTTGGGAGTGAGATTTTAAAGATTGTTCCAGGCAGAGTCTCCACGGAGGTTGATGCCAGGTAAGATACAGTGTGTAGGCAACTATGTCTATTTTTATCTAGCATTTAGACAATTTGGTGCCTGGAGATGCATTTTATAAGGGTTGCTGGGTATTGTTCTGTAATGTTGATAGTTTGGTACCATTAAAACAGATGTTTGAAATTACCTGAATTTTATTATTTGGTTTAATTGAAAAATATAAAGATATCATTGCTGAACTTCTTTTCTCGCAAGGAGCTGAACATAAAGGAAATTGGAATTTTTGTAAAACTTTTATCATTTGTTCCTATTTTCAAAATATCTTGTGGTATCTCAAAACTCTGTTTAGTTATAGTGAAAAATCATATTTAGCTGGGCACTTCCAGTTGTCATGAGTTATTAAAAAAAGTTAGATGGTTAATTTATATGCATTTAACATTGATTCCTTTGGAAATGCTGTATTTGCTCTATTAGAAGCAACTCTGTTATTTACTTAAGCATATACGTTTCTAAATACTAAATTCATTAGTGCCAAAATCTGTATATTTTGGCATTTTTTAGTCAGTTTTTCTTGATAAAAATAAATCGTTCTAGGTACAAAACAACCAAATATATAATTATGAACACTTTTAAAACCAAAAATTAATGCTTCTATTTAATAGGATGTATACCATAAACGATCTGTACTGTACTTGCTTATTATGTCCCTGTAAATTTTAATATTTCACATTAGATAATGAGCTAGTATTAACCCATTCTCAGTTTTCATTCTCTTGACATCTGCATTGTACATGTACAATGAGTATTATGGAACCATTATTTTGTTTTTCAGATCAGATTCAAAATGGCTGGCTGGTGGCCATAGTATTTAAACCTGACATCAAACATTTATTAAAGTTGATAAATCACAGGGACTTTGTAATATATTATTTATTTTTTTCGGAATTAAAAAAAAAAATAAAAAAAAATAATCAGGTTTTAGGAAAAATAATAATTCAATATCAATATTTCAATATGAAAAGCAACCTACATGTGTAAATTTTAGAAAACAAATTGGGGGGGGGGGTAACATTGAAAGTTGCAAATGATATTATGATTTTTAAAAATATAATATTTATTAAGCCAGGGGCACATCCAGCACTTTTTTCTGATATAAGCTGCACATTATTTTTGGAACAATTTATTTGCAAATGTTTTATTTTGCAAACATTGATGATTTCAAATGATTTCATTTCTAATAAGATTTAGATTATAATGACATCAGGTCTACCTGAATTGTATAAAAGTTTACTGATCACAACATCATTTTTGCAGTGTTTTTCAGTAATCAAATTGAAAATTACATACCATATAACCTCTTAATCTCTAATTGCTCTCACTCTAATTTTAGGTGTCAGGGAGGAGTGAAAGACCTTAATTTGGTTCGAAAATAGTCATCACGATATGTTGAAAAATTACAGTCAATCAAAAAAACTGTTCACATGATAACAAAAACATACTCAGTATATTTCATGTAATACGCATTGATTTTTTTTATTTTTGTTCATAACAAAAAGTATATTCTAAAAGAAGTTTCAAATACAAAACAAACACGAATGCATTGCTTAGTAGCAAATAGTGCAATCAGGGCATGCTGCGTTTCACAAGTGATTAACTTCCTTGAATTGTTATGAAATGAAAGTAAAATTTAACTTTGTCTCCCGTTAGCGATTGATTTTGGTCATATGTAAACCTCTCTGCGATGTGATATTAGTTGTATTTTTTCCATACATGAGTTGATCTGAAACTGTCTTGTTTGATCTGATAGGTCAAATCGCTAATTAACCAATCAAAATGCTGGATGGTGCAAACGTGCTCAAATTACCATAGCTCATTTAAATATTTTAATGACTTCATGGTGAACGCAACAGGGAAGTAAAAATGTTGTAATGAAATCTTTTGGCTTTGATTTTTTACAATAAACATCATACCACTACTCTTGAATAGGTGTCAATGACTACAGAAAACTCTAATCTAAACGTCAGGAAAGATTGAAATGTTAAAAAAATGATGTCTAATCAAGCGATTATACAGTAATGATTATAGAGAAATAACTAGGTGTAAAGATTCTACATGTTGAATATTTACGACTGAGTCAGCAACAAGTTGGTTACTAGGAATTCCCTCTCAAACATCCGCACACCTTATGATTTGAATGCTCAATATAGTCATAAGTCAGTCACAATTGAACTGATTGTAACATCTGTGATTGGCATTAGTCACCTACTTCATTCTCGCTATAAAGCCTTATTCTCAGTGTTCGATGACCCGGGTGCTCAGTGCAATTGAGCATTCTGAGAAATAAATTAGCATATAATTAGCATAAATTAACATATTGTTTGTCATATGGAGAAATAAAACAAAAACAGTTTTTTTTTCCTTTTTTTCTATTTATTTTATGTATACAATTATTGCACTGCATGTTTAGTATTGCAAATGTCCTGCAGAAATACCGAGTTTTCTGTTCCTTTGCTTGGCCCAGGATTCAGCAACTTTATAAAACCCTGTTCGGTCCCG